CTATCAATGATTCAAATAAATCTGCTAAAATAAAAAAGAATCTTTGATAAATAAGAGTTCCAAAATCGGCTACATATAATTATTTACATAATTTTTGCCTACAAAACCACTATCAACGTAATTAAAGAAAATCAAGAATTTATTAAAACAAACACAAACCGAAGTATTAAATATGCGTAGAATACTATGTGATAATCAACTGATTTAAATAATAACTTTGTTTCCTTTACATAAAGATATCAAAGTATTAAATGAATAATATATTTTCTAATTGAATATCGTAAGGCAAGAGATTCTAAATTCCATATTGATATGGACCTACAAAAAGAGGATATTGTTTTGAATTAAAAATTCATTCCATATCATAAAAGGAAACAAAAATCGAAAAAACATATCTAATATAATTAGGCAATGATTAATGAAAGTTTGTTAAGTTACTATTTTTAGGCTATAATTAATGAATTTGGCGGGAAAAGATTACTAAAAGTGAATTATGTTAATCCTTATTATATATTAATAGATTTGACATCCATATTGTATATATAAAATAAATAAATTATGTTTATCTTTATAATAATAAAAAATAATATTATTAAAATTTATTAGAAAAATTAAATTATTTCTCAGTTGATATATTTATGTTTAATGTAGTTATATATTGTAAGTTAAAAAGTTATTATAATATAACACAAGTAAATCACACAAATAAAAAGTGATATACTAGATATATAATAATATATATATTTTAATAAAAAGTATTTAAATTTTCAGCTACCTTTTCTCATTAATTTTAGATTTTAAGAAAAAGATTAGCAAGCACCCGTGTAATACACGGGCGTTGTACTAGTAATTAGTTATACTCATGCCTGAAAGTAGTTACAGATTGGTCCCACCTCCATTCCATATTTTTTGCATGATTTCTGGAAAGTTCGCAAAAAAAAAAAAAAAAACAATGCTACATGTACAATTATAGTTTATAATATTATTTGACAACGTAGTTAAAAGTATAATTAACTCAAATCTTAACCACGTATTTATTTGCATCTCAACCACCCACATTATGCCACATCCTGTTGTCGTTGAATGTTGTACAAAAAAATTATACAACTAGCTTTTTCCAAAAAAAAAAAAAACGTGAGTGCTCACTTTGTAATGGAAATCGGAACAAGATAATCCAGCGATCTTTTTCTGAAGTTATACCTAATACAAATCCTGAATTTATAGTCACGATTGTGGAGTGTATATGGTCATAGTCGAGTATATATAGATATAGATTTAATATATATTATACATATACTGATCATATACTGTACAAATACCACAACACAGCACAACCAATAGAGGCGCGATCGATCTTTTTCTTAAGAAAAGTTACGCAAATATACCAAAAAAAATGATTAAAATCAAGGTATATTACTATATCAATTCGTTTTCAACCAAAAAAAAATCTTCTAGTATACCAAACATAAACTATGAATAAAATATTAAAAATGCAAAAAATAGAAACAAACGTCCATTCACAAACTAAATTGTATATAACTAATATTCCAAACATAAAATTAATATGTACAATAATTGCACATATCGCAATGATGTGTATATACTGTATTTATATTGTACATGTACTATACATATACTGACCATACTCTAATTTGTATAATGAAACAATCAAACCAGACCTCAATTTTTTTACACCCAACCAACCATCTCCCCCAACCATGGCGACGCCACAACCCTCGACGAGGACGCCGGCGGAAATTGAGGACATAAAAAACTCTTCCAAATGGTTTAAGCTTCGGATGCACTGGATCATTTATGACAGATACATAGAATGGAAAATACATCTCCGATCGTTATCCTTTGCCGCCATGGACGTCCCCGACCCCGCCGCCGATGCCTTTCTCCTCAACCTAGGCAGGAGAGAAGCTCGTTTCCATTCGGATTTCTGCACCGCCGGATCTGCCGCCGGCATCCCGTTGGCCGGCCATCCAATCGACACCACAGACGGCGGGGGCTTCCTCGCCCTTCCGGCAAAGGAAAATTTCGCATAAGGATTCGATCGATCATTGAAAAAAAAGAGAGAAAAATTTTAACTGTAGGCCAAGAGAAAATATAAACATAAAGTTATAGACGGAGAAAAAGAGAGAGACGGAGAGGAAGAGAGACGAAGATGAAGCGAGAGAGAGAAAGAGAGAGAGAGAGAGAGAGAGAGAGAGAGAGAGAGAGAGGGAGAGGGANNNAAAGAGAGAGAGAGAGAGAGAGAGAGAGAGAGAGAGAGCCGAGATAACTGATATGTAGTGCTGCATCTGGGATATTAGGCATAATTGTGATATTTTTGAGTTGGTTTAGTTATTTTCTAAATTAGAATAAAATGATTGTACAAGTGTAAAATAAATAATATTTGATGGTAAGAGGTGTAAATTCCTCTCGAAAAAATTACTCCATTCATCACACATAATAGAATTATTGCCTTATTCAAAAAAAAAAAAAA